TTTAAACAATGAGGAGCAAAGTGCAGGAGGACCAGGAACCCAGGGGACACTCTCCAACACACCTCTGCAAGCACCCAGGCCTCAGTACACCTCCTCTACCTCAGGCTTAAGAACAGGCAAAGAAGCCGAATCCAGTAAGAGCCACTGAGCGCGTCACCAGCTCAGCACTCCACTGCCCCCGGCAAAGGCTCGGACAGGACACTCGGGACGCACCTCATACTCCACCATGGCTTTCTTCATGCTCTCCACGTCGAAGATCATCTTGATGAGGTTCTGCACCGGCTTGGGGAGCTTGGACTTGGTTCCAGGGTTCACTGTCAGTTTCTTCACCGCCTCTTCATCCTTTGGGGAAACAGGTATGTTACGGAGGGAAGACAATCAGTAAGAGACCCCATTCAACAACCAAAGCGGTGGTGGTGTTTGGGCAGCAGGTAGAGTACCCAGGACAATGCCACCAGCAAAAGGGCTAGGCACCCATCCACAGGGCTTGGGCGGCAGCTACCAGGAAGGGTGTGAGTCTGCAGAGAGATCGGACACTTCCAGGGCACCCCCAGTCCTCTGGACCGCCCCATATTCTTACCCAGCTGGCACTGCAGCCTCACACTCCCCTCACCCCCACTGTCTCCTGCCCTCAGGTTGCTGGTGTCCTGCATGGGAATCTGTTCGGTGCCCACTCATGCCCAACCCAGAAGAGCTTGGCAGCTAGGAGGGCACACCCTGGATCGAGGGACCAGTGGACAGATGCTCCCCCACTTCTCTTGCTCTGCCTCATCCCAGGGCCAACTGCGTGAGTGACTAAGTCTGTACAGCCTTCTCCGTCCCAACGCCTCAAGCCAGGCAGCCTGACAGTGCTCAGTGCATCCACCTTAGCCACCCGCACCCCAAACCCCACCCCTCCTGATAAACTAAGCATGAGGCTCGGCCCCCACTGCCTGACCACCCAGCTAAGCCAAGAGCACACTGTGATGGAAATGCCTGAGCTTTTCTTACTTTTGAACCACACGAGGGCAGGGCCTATGCTGTCCATTAGTCCTTAGAAACTAAGTGTTTGCATGTGCTTCAGGGAAGGGAGCTGGCACTGGGCCCGGCTGGGCTGACCCTAGATGCAGACAGAAACCTGTGCCGTGCTGTGCTCACGGCTGTTGGGGAT